GTAATATCATTTGACTTGTTTACACCTGAAATAACATGTACTATTTTAATGATTTAATTCTGAAATATTTCAAAAGTGCTCTGACCAAATACAAGATGTTTATATCTGAAAAGTTCTTTGTGAGATAAATGTTAGATTCTTGTTCAATGACTCTTAATGGATCTCCAATTGATGATTGCAGTTTCAAAACAAGTTTAGAGAAAATTCTACATTCGTTGATGTCTTGTAGCATCTTGGACTCAGATTGATTCAAAAACTATTACCCAATTTACATGCCACATATTCTAATACTGTTTTGTTTCACCTTTGGTACTATAATTGAAGGGCAAGCCTGTTCTATTGGTTCTTCAACAGGTTTGATGATATCTGTAATTATCCATTTATTTTTTCTCTCAACTCAAATGGAATTTGATGGATATGTTGACTAACAGGTTTTACTGACAGATCCAGTTTATGTTTAATCTGGTAATTCTTCAGTTTTCCAACTTCAGACACTTGGAAAACAGTTTTGAATTATATTTCTAGTTCTTAATTCATTCACTGGAAGGTTTTTTTAGATGCTCCATGTAATTTATGTTTGAAATGTTTTCTACCTTAAAAACTTTGAGCTGTGTGGCAGTTTTCCAGCCTAGCAATGGAATGACAATATCGTCAAATACAAAAGATCTTGTATCACATTTCTGATTGCCAATAGCAGCTTCAAGTGTTAATGTTGCCATGATTTTTAGTCTCTTAGAATACCTATAAGCAAAGAGTGGTTTTGTTGAACTAGCTCTATTGTTCATGTACTTGATTTTCTACTGTTTCAATCTTGTTTGTGCATTTTTGTCTATAACATTTACACTAGGCTGAGGATCAATCAACATGGTTAGTGGTATACTTCCAATTATGAGATTAATCCATCAGTCCTGATGTTACTGATCATAAACATAATCATTGTCTATGCAAAATGTAGGGTTTAGTCACCTCCTGTCATTATGTTCACTTGTTTGATTTTGTGAAGTGATTAATTATGCCAACTTTATGACATTTTTACTCTCAATAGAGCACTTTGTGTCCTTACTATAGTATCCATTCAAACATACTTATAACAATTTCCTGTTATAGGTTTGCATATGGGTGTAATGGAAATATCTCTTGATATTTATAGTTTCTTTTCACCATCTTTTTTTTGTGCCAGACTTGCAGAGGATTCATATTTTAACTTTTTTACTCACTTCTGCAGTTGAGCTTGTAGCACTGTAGGTTGTATTTGCATTTTGTCTCTGTAGTACAAATGTTATGATTTAATTAAGTGTTAGTTGGTTGCCTTCCTCTAATAAACTATGCTTGATGTCTGTATATTTACATCTCCATAAAAGTGTATCTCATATGTGGTTATCTGTACCAGTGCCATATTTACAATCTAATGAGAATTTTTTGTAGACTGTTGTCAGGTTTTATGTTGAGGTTCTGCTTGTTGGGATAGATGTTTAAAAAATATGGCTTTTACCCGAGGTACAAATTAGTCATTCAAAACCATCACCATTACTTCATAATCAGTCACTACACCAGTGTTTGGCAGTTTTGAGATGATGTCCTGTACCTCAGTTTCTCCTAAATGCAACAATAAATGTACTAATGTTTAACATCACCATCTATGAGATCTTTGATTTCAGCATAGAATGAGAATGCATTCATTCAACCAACATGTCCAATGGAAACCCATAACTGTTGGTTTGTTGCAGCAATTCTGAAACTTGGGTTTCTTCTGCCATATTGCATTTACTGTTGTTTCACTAATCCAGTGTCCTTTAATGTTTGGATAACTGTAGAATAGATACACTGAAAAATGCCACTGGTGATAATGGCAGATGTTCTTTATTATTTATTTTCCCACAATTCTATATGTGATACCTATTTACACATGTAAATATACATTCATATGACTACTAAAATCTTGAACTTTTTAGAAGTGCAATAATCTTCTGTGACACTTTAAAGTCCCAATAATGTCTAATCTCCCTGAATAAAAAAGTAAACAAGATAAATAACAGTAACTAAAAATATTTATTAGTAATTGATACAGAAATGATCTACATAAATATTCATAAAATGTATCCAAAAGAATTACCCTAAAAATAAACTATAAATAGTGTAGTTATCAAACATATGAAGTACTTTTACTAAAAAATAAAACTTTGCTTACTTTGATAAGAAACAAAAAATCTCGCATTCGAAAACATAGATCAGAAGATGAGTGCTGTAAAAAGAAACAATCAGAAATGACTTAAATTACAAAGCACAAAATAAATGTATACATTTTTCAAGTAAAAAAAAAATATATAAAGGATGTTATACTTAAGAAATTAGTAATGTTAATAGTTTTTTGCTCCTAAAATTGTACAAATATTCAAAATTTTTATTGATACCTTTTAAACTAGAAGCATCATTAAATTGGTTTGTAAATATTTAAGTTAACAACAATTATTAGAAATAAGGTTTCACATTTGTTTGTAATGTGTATGAAAGAAAAAATAATCTGATTATGTTTGTGTATTGTAATTCCTTTGAGATGCTTTGTTTATATGGTCAAAGATATTTTGTTCAAATGAATGACAACTAAAACATTTTGTTAATCAAAGAATAAAGGTTATGTCTTGTTATTTGTACCAGTATGTTCAATTTGGTTATTATACTCACATTTTAACTGTTGCACACTCAACTTTCATCAGGTTTCTCTTGTACTCTATAACCTTCTTGGAATTTTGAACTAAATCTTTTATACCACAAAGGTAAATTGTTATCATTCCACTTACCATGCTTAGAGGATTTTCCATATCAGTTAATTCTCTCTAGTCTATTCACCTTAGTGTTGCTTGTCCATTTCTTCCACTGGGACAGAATTTTGTAACTTTTCTATGCTATTGAACCCAAGAATTGAACTAATGACTGCCAAAAAAACAAATATGCTTTACCTAATGCTTTGATCTATGAGGTCACATATTAACATTGGATTACAGCCTTTCAATATTAATCCAATTTTACCTTCAGGAGATTGTTAATCTTGCCCTTGTATTCCTTGTCATAACTTCATGGGATTGAATACCAAGAGTTCTTCAGAGATGTGCTTGGTTCAGGAGAGATCTCTTTGATTATTTGAAATGCTTTTGAATACCATCTTGATTTTGTATAGCATGCAAAGAATATGGTTTCAAGATATTCATATATAAGCCAACATTAATTGAATGATACCTGAACTTCAGTTCCCACTATCCATACAGCATCCAGAAAGGGATCATCACTGCCTATAACATCAGATAGAACTCATAAATGACAACACATAACCTGAGATGATCAACATTAGAAACACCCTTCAAGTATATCAGCTTATTTGAGCAAGGACAGAAGGGTTAATTGCTTGATTTTATTTTTACAGCTTATCAAGCCTTTGTAGGTTATTTCAAGCTGAAACACATTTCTGATTATAGGAGGTCACTTACAGTATTGGGTGTTCCCAAGCGATCCCCTATCTAAGTACTGGCCGGGCTCAAAACTGCTTAACTTTGGTGATCAAATAAAAACTGGTGTTTTCTGAATGATTTTACAGAAGGGTTGAAGAAAAATGTTATGGTCTTTCATACATAAGGAGTACACAGAAAGATTTAGAGCATTTGTGGTCCATAAAATGTTAGGACAGTCTTCAAAAGCAGTACAACCCCTTTAAAGAGAACGTCATCAAGAATTATGTGTTCGATCCCATTCTGTTGTGGTAAGTAATACAACAGAAAGATCAGTCACTCCTTCAAGGTAAGGTTGAAAGAACATTGCCTGAGGAGACATTGAAATCAAGTATAGCTGATCATGTATGGAAGGAAAAGAGTGGTAATTAACATGCCATGTCCCCTCAGGATGTAGGCAATCATAGTTTGCCACAGTTTCTTGTTCATTGTAGTTCTCAATAATTTTTTTTTTATTTCTCCTAAACCCTGTTCTGGTATCCTTTACTCAAGCTTACTAAGTATGTTATATGTTGTTTTCCTCTATCCCTCTTGCCTTCAGTCTGTCCTGTGAGTATATGATTTTCCAAGCCCTCTTTCCCCATTATATGGCCTAGAAATTTCAATTTTCTCTTCTTGATGTGAAATATAAGTTTCCTTTTTGTTTCCATTTCCTTTAAAATTTCATCATTGCTCACATATTCAGTCTATGTTATCCTCATCTGCCTTCTGTAGAACCACATTTCTGTTGCTTCAAGTCTCTTCTTCATCTTTGAGAAGATTGCCTAGCATTCACTGCCATATAGGAGGACAGATATTGCATAACAGTTCAGTACTCTTTTCTTGGTTTCTAATGAAGTTTTTCTGTTTCTGAGCTTTTGGAATGCATCTTTGGCTACCCCAAGGTGTCTTCAGATTTCTGTCTCACATTTTCTGTCCTCTGTTAAAATACTTCTTAGATATTTAAATTTTAGTACTCGTTTGATTTTGGTATCTGATTTGTAATTTGCAATTTGGGCTCATCCTTTTGCTAACAACCAGCATTTTGTCTTCTTGCAGTTTATGTTTAGTCCTTTTTTTCTCATTTTCCTTCACTACCTTCTATAGGAGCTTTTTTAGTTTTCTTTCCATGTCTGCTATCAACACTGTGTCATCCACATATCTTATGTTGTAAAGATTGTGGCAGCAAATAATGAATCCTGGTAGGACTTCTAATTCTCTCCGAATTGACTTGTTGTATAGGTTGAATAAGTCCAGTGAGTAAACACATCCTTGATGATACTGGAGGATAAGATGACTGAAAGAATCAGTGCACATATTGGGCTTTGAAAACCTCCTCAGAGTGACAAACACAATATGGGAGTCTCTGATTAAGAAAGGACACTGAAAAATTTCACTACCTCAACACATTAGGTTTATGGGTTCAAAATTACACCACTGGATTGTCAAATAGATACATGACCTAGCAAATTAAAGTATATTTGATTTCCTGACAGTTGAGAGTTCAATTCCAGGGTTCAGTAGTACAGAAAGATTATATATTCTGCCTCAGTGAAAGAAATGGAGAAGTAACACAAGTAGACTAGAGAGAATTAGCTGATGCAAGATATCCTCTAAATATGGGAAATAGAATGACAACAATTTACCATTGTGGAATGAATAAAGGATTCAATTAAAAATAGCCAAAAGATTACTAAGTATGACAGATGCCTGAAGAAAACTGAAGGGAAAAACAGCTAAAATACAGGTATAACAACCAAGATGAGCATGCTGGTTTGAATAATTCCTCATCCTCAAAATTCTAACATAAAATATGTATGATGAGAAAATAAGCATGTAAATGTCTTACAGATGACTTACCTTTTGCTCTTTACACAGAGATTTGTAGATTGGATAGACTTTATCAATATGCTCAAATACATTCATTGCTTTTCGCAATTCATCATAAAAATGACCTGAAATTTACAAATTTGGATGCCACCATAAGTAACAATTCTAGACTGCTTCAACCAGGATATTATAAATGTACACATTGTTTTCATAAACTATAAATAAGGACTAAGGTAATTATGTGAATTCTTTTTATTAAATTAATGATTAAGAGAGAAATGGAGAAAATGTAAAGTAACTTTCACCCAGTAATTTTTACAAGAAAATTACAAAAGATAGTTGAGTAAAAAATTAACAAATATGAAACAATGATTTTAAAATAAATCAGACCAAGATTACTGTAATGTGTTTGATTTTCACAGGGTATTTCATTTGTTACCTTGTACCATATTAAACTCAACTAAGTAAATATAGCAACCACTATGAAGTAAAATTAATCTTTTATGCTTGAGAAATTATTTTTATAACATGAACAAGTCTGAACATTTACTTTCATACATGTATTACATCAATGTTGAATATATATTTCTTTAATATTTTTAGTTGCTATTTTTTTAATTAATTTCAAATGAAAATTTATGCCCTTTTTATTTATTTACATCTTCTCCAAATGGCATTTATTTTTACATATATTTTAATTCTTTTAATTTGTCTTCCATATTAAAATGCTGTGTAAAAATTTTTAAAATTCAGGTGCAAAATCTTTGGTTAGCTGTCCTTCCCCCATATAAAGAGGGTGCTGAAACATTATTGGCCCAACAAATTAAATTCTGATGTTTGGTCATTTGATAAGATTTTGGGAAGTGGGGTCATGTTGAGAATTTTTTAGCACTCCCTTGAATAACAAAAGAAAACTTAAAATGTAAGTAAAAATAATAAAAAATGCATGTGTTAAAGATTTTAGCAAAACATCAAGACTAATTTGTAATAAAGCTCAACAAAATTAATTAAGTGTTTGCATGTAAGCAATGACCTTACCTTTTACTTGGCAGGCAAATGGAAAGACATTGTTTTTAAGCAACTGAGAAAAGCACCAATCAAGCATACAACGTGGCTGGCTGGAGTAAGAAGAGGCAATATTTTTAATATCTGTACTGTCAAGACATTTGATCATCAGGTAAACTAAAAATAAAACAACCCAGCTTTTACTTAAATTTGTAACCAATACACATGACATGAATTTTTCTTATATATATTAGCTTTTGGGTAATTGCAATTTTTAAGGTCATATGTTGTCTTTTTAATAATTATATAACTTCAATTAAATTTAACTACAACAAGCAATATTGCACTTTAATCTATAACTCAGTTTGGTATAAGATAAATGGTCATTGTGAGCAATTTATATATTCAGTCCCAACTATATTTTATGGTATATAAGACTCCCTGCCATTTGAGAGGTTATATTAAGAAAAAAATTGTTTCAATGTTAGTTACTAATACTTTATTCATGTACTTCAATAACCCAGTTCAAAACAAATTTCTTTTTAATCATTTATAACTTTATAAAATTCTAATATTTGAAAAAGAAAAAAAAAATTTGTAATATGGAAGATATTAAGAGAATATTATTTAGAAATGTTCATGTGTTATAACATTTCTTAGTAAAATACAAAATAAAACCAACTGGAAACATGTTCTTCAGATTTCTAAAGAATCAGTTCTTTTATTTACAGTGAAATTATTTGTCAGTACCTTTCTGGTAGTGGTGATTATTTCAAGTTCAGGGAAAACAATATAATAGTTACAATCAAATCTTTAGAGATATTGAATTTCTTTCAGAAAATTAAGGCTAAATTGACAGTTGAATACTAAATATGATTGAATATGATTAAATAACTTTGTTTCAGTTGAAAAAAAACTATTTTTTATATAGCATAGAAAAAGTTGATTTTGTAAAAGATTACAATAAATTTTCAAAAATGTAAAAGATTTTTTTATTTAAAATTTTACTACTTAAATTTTTTATTTTAATAGAATAAACACATTTCCTCTAGTTTCAAATTTGAAATAAAAAAAAAATAATAATTTCACTTAAAATTGTTTATCTATTTTTTTTATTTTTCTTAAATTTATATTAAAATCAAATATATTTCACAAAATCCAATTAATATGATTAATGTCTAATATAAGTCAATATTATTGCTATTTTCTAAGTGTGACTCAAGATTACAATAGTGCTTCACTTAGTAAGGATCAAACCCACTAAAAATTACTAATCAAAGTTCTGTAGCAGGCAATATATATATATACCTGTATCAGCTGCATTTGTTTCTAAGCAAAGATGATTTGTTACTTGGAAAAATGTTTTTAGGTAAATTTGGAAAATGGTAATATAAAATATATTCTCATTAGACCTCTAATGTTTTTAAAATCACTATCAGAAAATTAAAATCATTAAAAATCTTGAGAAATAATTTGTGGATTTTATTATTCAAAAAATGAAATAGAAAAACACAAATATAAGACATAAAAGTATAGAAATTTAATGTATACCAATTTATTCTGCCTTCTTCATCTTGGTTGTTATAGTTGCAACATTTTGGCTGTTGTACTCTTTGACCATCTTCAGATGTCTGTCATAGTTGATAATATTTCTCTAATTTCAAACTGAACCTTTTATTCAATCCTCTAGAGTAGACTGTTTTCATTCCAATTTGCAAGCTAAGAAATATCCCATATTAATTAAGTTAGAACAGTCTATCTATGAGGATTGAATAAAGATTTCAGTTAAAAATTCTAAGAACATTACCAAATATGACAGGAACCTAAAGAAGGTCAGAATACAATGACTCAAACATTGTAACTATAATAACCAGGATGAGGACAACAATTCAAATAAATAAGTGTATAATAATAGTAATAATAATGATGATGATGATAAATGGTACCATCACAAGCCAGAGAAGGAAATTGAAAATGACTAAGTTAAGATCTTGTGGGATTTCAACAACAGATGTCATCCTTGTGGCCACCAAACCAGACATCATCATTATTGTTAACAAAAACACAAGAAAATGCTTCCTTATAAACATGGCTTTTCCTTGTGATCATAATATCAATGTCAAAGAAATTGGAAAGCTTAAGAAATACACCACCACCTCTGGACTGAAGTTGCTAGAATGTGGGACATTGTCACTATTGTCCCAGTTATCATTGCAACCTTGTGGCCCATACCACTAAACTTAAAATACTGCTCAGAATAAAAAAAAAACCTAATGTCCCATTACTTCAGAAGTTTGCCAAGTTTAGCACTGAAAATATTCTACAAAAGTTGTGATTGGTCTAAGGTCATAATTACACCCATAATGCAAATAGATTGAAAACAAAAAATAACATAAGAAGAATGTATTATAATTTCTCATCTCAGAAATTTAGACAAGCAATTTGTAGTTACTTAAACTTACTTGAATTTTTTTTTTGCAGTCATATACTGCTTATGATAAATATGAAAAGAGAGGGTGATTAAGTTTGCAATGAATTCTCTCTGCAATATCTTTGTGAAAGGGTTGTGCATATTTGTATGGTTTTTTAATTTATCTGAAAAACAAAAGCATAGACATTGCATAATAAAATGATTAAATATGTTGATATATCAAAAGATAGGCAACAAAAATTTCAAACCTTAGCACTTTCTCTGAGATCAGTTGTTATTCATCAAATTTAATCGTATTTTAAATTTTATTTGATTATATTCTAGTCCCCATGTATATGCTCATTCCTGGCTGCCTGCCAGCTAAGAGCAAAATGTTTTTAAAACTGACCCTTAGCCACAGACTTTACACTCAGGCAAAATTTTACTGAAAGACAACAGTAATAGTGTGGTGAAGATAAAACAACAAAAACAAGGATAATTTAAAACATCAGTGAATAGTAACATTAATTACTAATGACAATTATCATCACCAATCATCTTGGTAAATAATTCCTAAAATGAATGTCTTACCATTTCTCAGATTTGTATTTATTTTACTTATATTGATATTATTCATTATAGAAAAACATATTTACAAATTTGCATATACAAATATATACAATTTGCATATATTTATAAGTTTTTATTTTTTTGCCATCATTTATGGAAAAGGCAAAATAGATATTTTTGTTTATTTTTAGCAAATTGAATGTTTGTAATTACAAAATCTAAATAGAAATTTTCACACAAAGAAAAGATTTATACTCTATTATCTAATTCATTTTTTAACTAAGAAATTACAAAAACTGCTCCATTGACTATATATATATATATATATATACACACACACTGAGCATAGACAAATAATGTCCACCAGTAAGACTTATATAAGGTTTAAAATTAAATTTCAAAATAGTAAAATCAGTAAATAAACATTCTTTTATAGTCAAAAATGAAAGCAAACCTGAGACAAGTTTAATATTCTTGTCTTTGTTTCTCATTGAAACAGTCATATCTAATGAAGGATCAAGTCATTTCTCTGATATTATTCATTTTTTTTTGTTTTTAATCTTAAATGAATTTAATATTAAAAAGTATATTTTATTTTTTATCATATCTGAAATAATAAATAAAGCTTGCAACCAAATTAGAAAATAATATTCTCAAAGTTATATCTTAGTTTGAATTGATTGTGTAATAACATTCTCGTCAGAATACTTCTTGCACATTTATAAATCTTATCAGTTGTCTGTGCATTGAATACTACTGCCATATTAGGTCTGTTGCTGCTATTATATACCTCGAGATTCTTGACAAAATTCAAAGAGTGGTCTGCCATATAACTGACCCTGACCTGGCATCATGACTTCAATCACTTTCTCCTGCCATCATGGCGTGGCTACCCTCTGTCTTTCTTACAAGTATTTTCACTGCAATTATTTTGATGAGTTGTTCTTCTTAGTACCTTGTCTATATGAATTAAAGCGTGCTAATATTTTGACAAATACATCTCACCATTTTACTGTCAAACTATCTCCATGCAACTGTCAATTCTATTCTAATAGTTTCTTTTCTTGCACTTCTTGCCCATGGAAGTCCATTCCGATTTCTTGCTTCCCTGTCACCTACAATCTTCAAAATTTTAAATTCAACATCAATGGCTGTATTCTGTCTTCTTGAATTCTGTTCCATTATTGTCCTTTTCCTCACTTCTCCTTATTAAGACTTCTCATTCTCTTTCACTCTATTTCAGTCCCTGTATACTAGTGGCATTATTGCTGTGCTTAAAGTGAAATGAGGAAAAATAACTAGTACGATTCAAGGAAGGACAGAATTGATGAGAATTCAATCCCATGTTTGATAAGGTAGTAAATTTCAACATGAATATTGTTTGCTAAAATTGTTTCGAAAGGGCAATATTTAAATATGATTTATTTTATTATTTATCTTAATAATAACTGTTACTTTTATTTGGTTAAATTAAGTGAATGTTATAAATGAAAATTATTTATACTACCAACACAACAGATTTCTACATAACTTACCTATGATTCTGTCCATTTCTATCAGGGTGTAGCCATGATGATGAAAATGGCAATCTTTGAGAAAGCGCCAATACTGGAGTTTACGCATAAGATATACATTATCAGCATTTTCTTCACAGCCAATACGGGAATAAAATCCATAAATACCTTTCAAAGAAGATATATGTCTCCATACATTTTTGCTAATCTACAAAAATAAATTTTAAATTTTCATGAATAAAGTGTAAGATTGGTAGATTAATAGTAAAGTCAATGAAAATGTGAAACTTTACTAACATACAACTATGATGTTTTCATTCCCCTAATCACTACCAGAATTTGTAGTCACTCATTGGAGTAGATAATTGTCTTATTTAATAAGTCCCTGCCACAATATCACAGCTTTCATAAATCATGAATTACTTGTATATTTGATTATAATATAATTTATTTACATGTGCTAAGTCATGAGATGGTAGTATATGATAGGTGGTGCCACTGTACCTTGATGTCATAAAAATGTCTAAAACTATAATAGTAGTTAGTGATCTATATAATAAAATACATCAGTAGACAAAAGAAAAGATGCTTTTACATGAAAAGACAGCTTTGACTTATGAAAATATTTCTGTCAAATCAAAAACACTTGTGATAAACTGACAAGATATTTTTTTCTTTTTTTATTTAATTTTCTTTAGTTTTTTTTTTTTTTTAACTTAAGTCTATTAAATCTACTAATGAACTAAATAGCAATTCTTTCAAAACTATTTGTAGTAATGAACATAGTGAAAACATTAATTGGTCCTGAAATAGCTGACCAAATAATTTCCTGCTTTGACATTCTACATTGATAGCATATAAAAACCAGTGGTGGCGGAAAAATTGATATTTTCAAAAACATTTTTAAAAAAAATTCTGTTTGGATGCAAAAAGTGCTAGAAAGAAAAACTTTGCCCAATATGTGAAGGCAAATGTTATCTAATTTTTAGCACAGTGTTATTACTTAGAATTCTGTAATGAAACTGTTTCCTTCTAGATGAAACAAGAATTATAAATTTATTGTAAGTTTTCACTCTTTTTATACAACATTGATTCTTTAAATAAAACAAAAAACATTTTTGTCCTGATCTAGAATAGAATGGCAGGCTCTTTGAATGTAACATTCTTAAGAGCAATGATTGTTTAGTTGAAGAGATGCATTATTTTTTACAAGTTCACTACTCTGCATATTAATTCATAAGAAAAATGCCAAAAAATAAGACAATCTGAAGGTATTTATGCAGTAACTACACAAGAACCTTACAAAAACTTTTAAAAGCTATGTAGTAGAACCAAAATTTATTTTCAGTAACATGGAATAGATTTTATTGGTTATAGTTTGTTTCCTTAATTTGTGTGTATGTGGTATGTCAGCATTTTTTTTTAGAAAAATAAAGAAGTATGAAAAATGCAGATCCTAATGAGAGTGGTAACAATACTAAAAATTCTGGTTGACAAAGATGTTCTTTTAGAAAAACACACACATATTAAATATAAATCAGACTGTCACTGGGAAACACTTCAAATAAGTAAGTCCTTTTCCTAAAGGACTATATGAAACCTTTGAAATGGATTAATTACAGGTATATATACATTTGCCTTATCTCTTGATTACTTACTAAGTTCAGATGTATCTGGTCCAATCTTGATGGTAGTAACAGCCTGAAAGAATAACTTCACTGTGAGGTCTCTCAAAATATTTATTTACTGAGCTTAGCTTAGGTCACAAGAATAGGACACCCTAGTGAATAGTGAACTCTATACATTAACAAATTGGTTTGTGATATTGGTTTGTTAACCACTAAGTGTTGATAAGCAATTTTTGCTTTATTTATTGATTGAGTACAGCTATTATATAATGATATAAAAACACTATACATCTCATTTAAAAAAAAATTAAACAACTATAACAAATATCCATATCTTTTTTTAATATTCCATAAAAAAAAAACAGCTAGAAACATCATTTCATGAAAAGAAAGTGTAGTATTGTATGGAAATGAGGTACTGCTATAAAAACAGTACATCACAGTAAATGCCAGTTGAGCAACCATCTGTTGACCTGACAACGTCTATTCCAGAGAGTACTCTGCTTAATGACAATAAGGTATTACTGATAGGATCCCTAACTGCATTGGATGAACCAGAGCATGTAGAAATGTAGATTAAGATGTTTAGCTGTATTGGCTAGGGTAAAGAAAGTGAAAAACAAGAAAGCCTCCGGAGGGGAGAATGAAATTACTGATTTATTTTTGGCATTGACAGAATGTGAAGCCATAAGGAAAACATCTATTATTTTGTACCCAAAAATACTGGAAGACTTAACATATGAGGAAATTTCAACCATTATAAAAAGAAATATGCAATCAAAAAAAAGCTGGTTATTGCAGAAAGAACAAAATTTCTGGAAAATAGACAGAACCCAAATGAAACCATAATACAATATTTACACAGATTGAAAGAAGCATCAAGGTATTGCAGATTTGAAAAACTGGTTCAAGAGAAATATCTATAGAAGATGCATTGATCCTTTTAAAACTAATTGAAGGTATGTATGATGTTACATACAAATATAAGATCCTAGGATGACTACACCCAAATGATATGAATTTAGAAGCAAGGGTAGAATTCTTACAACAATTAGAAGTAATTAATGAATTTAATAATTCTAAAAACAATGTGGAAGCATACAACACAACTAAAATCCTAATTAAGTGCAAATATTGTGACAAAGAACATAAAAGAAGCAAAAACAAATGTCCAGCCCTGGGAAAATTATGTTTAAACTGTAAAAGAAAAGACCATTTTCAATCTGTGTGGAGATACAAAAGAGAGAATAGAAAGGGTAGAAAGTATAAACCATCATACTGATAATACAGAAGTATATTCAATAAGAACACCTGCAAAAAGTAGAGAAACAGTAAAACTGAATGGCATAACTTTTCCTATGCAGGATGACACTGGGAGCGATATTACTGTGATCCCAAGGAATTTCTGGGAAAAAATGGGTAAACCCAAATTCAGAAAAAGTAATCTTAATTTAAAACAATTTTATGGATCTGTCACCAAACCCCTAGGCTCCTTTGAAGGAACTTTTGAGACAAAAAAACATTTTGAGATTATTCCCATCACTGTTGTAGAATACACAAAGAAATCATGAACTCCTGGGAATAGACATTTTAAAAGTGGATATAGCAAAATTAATAAACTGTATAAAGTCAGAAGAATTTGACATAGGATTATTGAAAGGATATATAGCGTGTATTAGTCTAAAAGAAAATTGTCACCTGATCTATTTTAAATCTTGAAAAATACCTATTCACATTCTACCCATGGTAGTTGCAAAACTAAAGAAAATGGTAGAACAAGGCATATTGGAGAAAGATACCCAAGCTGGTAGCAGTTGGGTTTCACCAATTGTTGCAATATGAAAGCCCAATGATGATTTAGGGATATGTGGGGATTACAAAGTAGGTGTGATCTGATTCATTTCTCTTATTTAACATAGAAACAGCAGCCATGAATTAGCAGGAATTAAATACTTTGCCAAGAAAATTGGCATATGATCAAATAGAAATTGATGAAAATTTTAAAGTCACTACAATTAATTCCGTGATAGGCTTATTAAAATGGACTCGTCTTCTGTTTGGCATTAAGAATTCAAGCCATATTTTTCAAAAGGCAAATGGAAAAATCCTATCGGCGGGGGTAAAAAATATAATCATATATCCAGATGATATAAACATAGGTGCTTGCAGTAAAGAGGAATTAAAAAAAAAAACTGAACAAATTTTAAACAAAAAATGCTGGTATGACAATAAATATCAATAAATGTGAGTTAAATTGCAACAAAACATTGTTTTTGGGATACCAAATATCTAAAGAAGGAATTTCACCAGACAATAAACTGATAAATAAAATATCAGAAGCATCTACACCAAAAAATAAAAAAATTAGAAACCTTTTTGGGACTGACCAACTTCTATAGCAAAATGGTTCTATTATGTTGCTGTATCTAGGTAGATACAGCAACATAATAGAACCATTTGCAGAATTACAGAAAAAAATGCAGAATTTAAATGGGTAAAAAAGCAAAATATAGCTTTTGAAACCTTAAAAAAGGCACTAATATGAAAACTGATTGCAAAAATCTTTGATCCAAAAAAGAAGTGACACTGACTATGGATGCAAGTGAACAAGCTGTAGCTGCAATTTTATCTCAAGAAGGTCATCCAATAATGTACATGTCAAAAAAATTAACATCAGCTGAAGCTAACTACTCAAATATTGAGAAAGAAGCATTAGCAATAGTATGGAGCACAGAAAGAGCTTGAAATTTTTTGTTGGGTGAAAATTTTTAAGTCAGATCACAAACCTTTAGAGTTTATATTTAGCCATAGAAAGGAATTACTAAAAGTCACATCTAAAATTTTAAGACGAACTATAAAACGCATAGCCTTTAATTTCAACAACATATATGTAAAGGGAGACACTATTCCATACATGGATGCATTATCCAGACTAAATTTTGACAGTAAAAAATTAGAAAAGTCTGAAAATTCAAAAGATAAAATACTGCACTGGGTTGAAATGGATGTGTTACTCTAAATCGTCTCAGAATTAAAGCCATGCAAGATCCAGTGTTAAGTAGAATTTCAGACAGAATAAAAATACATGAAGCTATTGTTCAATGACAGAAAGACCTTACAAAGAATCAAGACATAAGTTAACTGTAGGGAAAGGCATAATGTTCAATGGAGATATTGTAATACCCCCACAAAGTTTAAGAAAAGAAGTACTAAAAGATGTACACAATGATGTCCAATGTGCTATAACAGCAACACAAATGAGATTAAAATTACAAGCGTGGTGGCCAGGGTATTCTCATGATGTAGAAGACTATGTAAAAAGGTGCCCAAAATGTGCTGAAATAAAATTTTTCAGTAAAACAGAATTCACTCATAGCCTAAAGAAAAAGAACCATGGCATTAAAGGCATGAGGCTATTTTTAATTTTAGTGGACTCATTTTCAGGATGGCTCAAAGTAATTAAGGTTGCTGACAAAAAAGCCACCACTGTAAAACAAATATTAAGAACAATATTTTGAAGGAATGGGGTACATAAATCTTTGATCTCAGATAATGCACCAGAATTTTGCAAGAAAAGTTTGTGCTTGTGGTTAAACTGTATTGTATGCGTCCCATATAAAACATCACCTTACCACCCACAATCAAATGGAATCACAGAAAGAATGGTGCAGACTGTGAAAATAAGACTAAAAGCATTTTCCCCATCTAATGATAATATAGTTACTTACCAAGATTACTGTTAAACTATAGGAAAATTCCACATGCCAGCAGACTACAAAGTTCCTTTGCATTAATGGGTAAACAGATTAGAGCTCCCATAACAATGTCATTTTCAACAAGTGAAAGTGTATGGTATAAAAAAGACAAAGAATCTAATCCAGAGAAGGTGAACATTGTAGTACGAAAGGACACAACACAGCAATACTAATGAAAAATAGACAAAATGTACTGGCTCATGTGCATCAATTCAGAAGCAGAAGGGAACCTGAGGATATAGAAATAGATGAAGAATCTGAAAATGAAGAACATGAAGGGGAGGAGGGGACTAATGAATCCAGTAATGAAATTGAACAATCTATGGATATTAATGACCAGAAATCTGATGAGGAGTCAAAAGAGGAAAATGAACTTATGTGCCCTATAAGAAGAAATCAAGATGCACACCAAGAAAGGCAGTTTAGATTCACAAGAATAATTAAAAGTCAAAGATCAATGAAAGACATGAGGCCATTTTGGTTTGTGGAAGTGTAGTATTGTATGTAAATGAGGCACTGCTATAAAAGCAGTATGCTACAGTGAATGCCAGTTGAGCTACTATCTGTTGACCTGACAATGTCTATTCCAGAGAGTACTCTACTTTATAACAGAAATCTTACCCAATTTTAGAATTTTTATTGTAAGATTTTACAGTTGCATGAAGTATACTTTTACAATTTTGTTTGAATTCGGCAGCTTCCTGTTAACAATGTTCTGAGCATCTCACCAGCAACAAACTAAATCTTTTCTCAGGCAAACTCTGACTATAGCAGAGGCACTCTTTTCAATCAACTAAACACATTGTATTGACATACAAACATGACTATCAACTAAGATAATAGTGTCCCACAATTGCATGTGTGTACTTCACAAATCAGATGAGCCAAACAAAGATTTTGGTTGTCATTTATCACTGAATGCATCACCAAATGTTCAAGCTTAGCAACTTTGTTGGTTTACATTTTCAAGTAATAAAAATGGGTCTTAAGTAGACACTTATTTTTATATAATTTTATAACAGTCTACATATTATAATAGTTTTAAGTTATATTAGCAAAATATAATGATAAAAAAAAATGGGGTTGATATTTTAGTTACTAACATACCTGTCCCAGTTCTAGTTTCTTGTCTACTTTGGGGTAGTTCTTCAATAATTCCTCTAGATCCAGTAGGAAGTTTATTTCTGGCTTGTTTTCAGAATCACTTTCAGGAACTTTGTAAAAAATAATTTCAAATAACAAGATTAAATTTATAACTCCATTTTCAACAATATGTTTAAATGATATTTTATTCATCAAGTAGAGATAAGTTATAAAAATTTGTATGAGAAAATTACAACCCTATACTTCTTTGTCTTTTTTATGTGCCGTGTTCTCTCAGGATGTAGGTGATCATGGCTCTCCACAATTTCCTGTCCTTTGTAGCTCTCAATAAATTTTGTTTTTTAGTTATTTCTCCAAAACCATGTTCCAATATCCATTTACTTAAACTCATCAAGTATGTTATGTGCCACTTTTCTCTGTCCCTCTTGCCCACAATCAGTCCTGTGAGTATCAGATAATCCAACCCTCCTTCCTCATTGTACCTTAGAAATGTTCAACTGTCTCTTCCTGATATTAAGTATAAGTTTCCTATGTGTTTCTATTTTCTCTAAAATCTAGTTGTTACTCACATGTTCAATCCATGGTATCCTCAGCATCCTTCTGTAGAACCACATTCCTGTTGCTTCAAGTCTCTTCTTTGAGGAGATTGTCCAGCATTCACTACCATGTAGGACAGATATCACATAATAGTTCAGTACTCTTTTTTTTGGTTTCTAATGAAGTTTTTCTGTTTCTTAATACTCTGCTTAGCTTATGGAATTGGAATGCATCTTTGGTTATCCCAATATACCTTTCAGATTTCAGTATTGCACTTTCTGTCCTCCATTAGAATGCTTCCCAGATATTTAAATTTTTGTACTTATTTGATTTTGGTATCTCTAATTTGTAATTTGCATTTTAGGTTCATCCTTTTGCTAACAACCATGCATTCTATCTTCTTGCAGTTGATGTTTAGTCCTTCTTGCTTATGTTCACTAACTTCTGTAGGAGTTTTTGTAGTTTTTTTTCCATGTTTGCTTTCAACACTGTGTCATCTGTATATCTTAAGTTGTTAAGGTCATGGCCACCAACAATGAATCCTGGTAGGACATCTAATTCTCTCACTCATTGTATAGGTTGATAGGTTGAATAAGTCTGGTAAGAAGACACATCCTTGTCTTACACTCCTTTCTATTTTTGTATATCTGCTAAACTCATTTTCTATCCATATGCAGAGAGATTCTGACAGTGCATGTTTTTGATTATTCTAATATCCTTCCTAAATATGTCAAGGTTGCTGAGCAGTTCTAACAGATTTCTTTGGAGTTCTTTATTGAATGCCATTGCGTAACCTATAAAACATGGGTACACATCCTTCTGCATTTGTACTGCTCTTTCTGCTAACATTCCTTGTACTAGTGTCTTTAATGAACCTGCACTGTTCTTGTCCTATCTCTGGTCTGATTCTGCTGTGAGCTCTATTCATCAGAATTCAGATGATGTTTTGTTATATGGCTCATTAGGCTGATTGTCCAATGGAGTTCACATTCATTTGCACCTGGTTTCTTAGGCAATGCTATGAAAATAGATCTACTTAGGTCTTTTAGTATATTGCCACTGTTGTAGATTTCATTTATCATTTCTGCAATCTTGTCTATGCTGAAAACATCTAAGGTTGCTAATATCTGTTGCAATTCTGTTTGGCCAGTGCAGATTCCACTTTGTTTTTTTTAATATTTTCTGTTCCTTGATATTTCTGCATATTGCTGGTTGTTATTTCATCATGTAAGGTTTCTCCAATACCATCTCTGAAGTATTTTTTCTTTCTCTAATATCATCATTCTGTCATTGGATTTTATGCATCCTCTTGATATGAACATGTCTTTTTTCCTGTTAGTTCTTTTATTTTTTTATGCATATTTGTGATACTCATTCTTTCTATTTCTGCACATTCCTCTTTAGCCTGTCTGCATTTGTTCCTTATTTCATTGTGTAGTCTTCTATATTCTGTTCTATGTTTTGGCATTGTTTTTGTCTGCTTTTCATCATGTTGAGAATCTCACCTGTCATCCATTCATTTTTTTCTTCTTCATCTGTTTTCCTTTGGGATAATCTTGTTTGCTGATGTTACTAAAGATTCTCTTAGTGTGTCCCACACCAAGTTTCCATTTTCATTTTGTCCTTTATGTCTGCTTTTTACACTGACCATATATTTCTCCTTCAGATTCAGGTTGTTCAAGAGTCTGTCATATTGCAATTTGGGTGCTGCTTTCAGCCTCTTCAACTTCCATAGTTTCATTCCTAGTTTACATATAACAGGGAAGTGATTGCTTCCACAATTGGCACTTGATTTTGAGCCTGTTTATAGCAATGCCCTGTTTGGTTCAGGGCAATAAAAATTGAATGTTCTGGAAAAAAAGGTTTGAAAAGGAAAAATTTTCTTTCTGAATTATTTTCCACCAATCAAAACAACAGAATCAACCTCCACCCCAAATAATTTGAAAAGATAACTGAATGAACCTAGTGACCTCAATATAAACAAGGTCACCAGCTAGTAAAAATCACTAATCATTCAAACCTTGTCATGAGGACGAACATATCAATTAACATTTTCTATTGAGATGAAAAGAGAATTATGATGCTTGGCCAACTCAAACTCCAGACAAAGATGAATTTTAAACACCAAAGTACCGCAGAACCAACCAAAATATTTGTCAATATAACCAAAAGAACAAACTAACCAGCATTAAATTTATGTGATTTGATGCAATCTTCCCCTTTCTGGGTGATTACCACCTTTTTCAGTTGCTAGTAATACCGTTCTTGCATCACCTGTGGACACTTGAAGTTTTCATTTGCTGCTGATGTTTTGAATTTATATATTCTTTGTATACTTTTGTCCAATAAAATCCTACAGTAGTTACCACCTTAGAGATGGTATCCCATGTTTCTGACCTTAACATTCTGCAGTCAAATTGTGCTAAACCTTGTCCAAGTTCCAGAGCTACTACAATTACTGTCAGAGCTACACTACCTCTTTACCTATTGCATCACATACATCACCTGGTTGAATCTATTTCTATAAGTGGAGGATGAAACTATTGCTGTCTCTAATTCTTTTGACATTTCCGTTTAATGTTGACTATGGAAAGTAACTGAAAATATTTAAAAGTTCTGATAAAATTAAAAAGCAAAACAGAAATTCTACTCACAAGGCTGTCCATAAAATAGTGATGGCAAACCAGGAATGATTGTGTTGGCAGGTAAGCGATTATTTTCAAATTTGCCTATGTAATTTTCACCTGTTCTCTGGATAAATTTGGCCTGATGAAAAAAAAAATTTATCTTGAAGATATGTTGATAAAGTATCTTGTTATTCAAGTCAACAATTTTTAAAATAATTTTCCATTTAAATTTATAGATATATAGTTCTTCAACAAATGACTTTTTGAAACTAAAAACTGGTGACATACTGTTTATTTTGATACCCAGGTGTTAAAATCCTTTTGTTAAAACAACCATACAAACTTGAATATTTATATACACATAGTTTTGTTTTCAATTGTCTTTATACATAATATAATTAAATTTCTAGTTTCTGACCTTGAAGATATACTATTCTGTATTTGATTACTTAAAGAGAGTTATAAAAATCAAAACCTGAATCCCACATATGCATACAGAAGTGAGGCCTTTCTGGAAAACAGTATTTATAATTGACTATTTTAGACTAATAATATTTTGTAGATATTCCCTACTGCAATGAGAATGCACCTTACATGCCAATGCATTCTATACAGAAGCAAATATAGTAATACAGAATTACATGTAGAAATAATGAATCCTTACAGTTTAGAAATAAAACATGAAATAATTCATATATTTTAATATCTAAAAAAATTGCAATTGTAAACAGGCTTATCCAATTTTATATTCTTGATAGAAAAAAATATTACAGATAATTTCATTAGAAATTTATTAATATAATTTTATTATTATTTCACTTTAAATAATTTTAACAATTTATTAATTTATGTTAATAATTTTAGATAACTTCATGAAAGAATATTTGTTGAAAAAAAATGTAATTTTTTTCTGCCTTGTTCTTTTCTGCTAAATTATTAATACTTATATTTTTTATGTCATTACTGCAGAAATGGTCAATATTACTACATACTGGTCATAGCAACTTTCCAGCATTGTCAAAAGTTTGGTTTCAGGCTTTATTTAATGTCATCAAATGGTATAGATATTTTTCAGTCTTAATAGTCATTAAGAGATCTGTAGAGTGTAACCTAACTTTTGACAGTGAACCCGGTGCTTTCAATAAAAAAAATTTTTTTAAAATCTCACTTGTCCGTGTTTCATATCTTCATACCATTCTCCTTCATATTTGGCACCATCAGCATATTGGAAGGTACCTTTTCCTTGTTTCATTCCATTCACAAATTGCCCAATGTATGAGTTGCGTGTGTTGAACTGGGTTCCTGGCAGTCTATATGTTATCCAAATATGCTCTCCAAATCCATGCTAGCAAAAAAATAAAATAAAAATAATTAAATGTAATAAATGCTTTGTATGTTTTATTCTATGACACATGGAATACATTATCTGTTTATCTTATTTTTGCAAACTTTCCATGCTGAACAACCCATTTTTAATTTTAGTATAACATTTTCAAATAAAAAAGAATTCACTAACTTTAAAATATTTGAATTTTTGAAATAAGTTATTTTGGCTTTTGATCATCTATATATTTGTTATATTCCATGTTAAGGGAATAAACACATAACACCAGGTAGATACTATAAGAAAGGTTTATTGTACACAACAAGTACAATATGAAATATGGTACAGTTATATGCACAGGTCAATCTAGTAGTGAGTGCCACTAATTGGAAGGTTGGACGTACTTGCGTTGCCTTGCTCTTACTGTTCCTTCTCTCCTGAGTCTCTTGTAGACAGTTGACTTTATAGGTACTTACTACCTATAGTGTAATCATTCATGGGGGTGACTGGTTATTCCATTACATCAATATTATACAGAAATTCTCTAACTGACAATGGAAAATTTCACAGTAGATTTGACAACAAAATATTCTGCTCACTTAAGTATAACAGTAATAAATTAAGATAAAAGATCATTGTAATTTGGTGTCCTTTTATATTAGCTAATTGGAACATTTTACTAAACTTTAAGGGATGTACATGTTTTCCATATGGAAATAAATGGCCAAATTTTTGCTTCCTGATGATACAAAAGGGGGTCAGTCTCAAGGAATTCTAATAATGATTTGCCTTTAAAATATTACAGAGCAATTTTGCAATTATTTTCCCCTAATGGTATGATAACTTTTAAAATAAGTAGAACCGACTTTTCTTTCCATAAAGGATAAGTGTCGGATTTGCTGTAAATAGTTTTCTCTAAACCAATGAGGTTTTTTTCTCATGATGACTCCAAAAGATGAGAGTTTTTCATTAATATGAAAACATTTTGACAAAGTATTTTTTAAAAGAATCATTATTAATTTAAGTTTATCCAGAAAACAATGACTAACTCCTATTGTCAAGGATTCAACAACATTAATTCTCACTAATTTGCTAAACTATACATCCTTTTTGTAATCTTAAATATTGATCTTTTTGTTAATGTTCTTCTCTTCTAATACTGCACCAAAGTTAAGCAACATCAAGACAGGTCAGTACCTAGATGGGTGACCACTTGGGAATACTGGATACTGTAAGCTTGGATGTGCAGGTAGTTTAATGGAAAATGGCTCAGAATTGTTATTCATAGAGCCAAGTTCCAATTCCTGTTGTGTTTGTTATATTCAATTACACACAAATACCCATGGAAGAGGTATGAATCCACCTCTTCTCCCCCAGCTATGGGTTAATTCGTAAAACTTGCATTATTATCTCCAAAAAAGTTCTTACAATCTAAAAATATTTTCTGGCTTTAAATAAGCTGCATAGGGTTGATAGTTTAAAAACATGTAATTTTTATTACATATAAATAAAAAGCTTATAATTATAATTTATTATCACATTGTCCTTTAAACTATTTCTAATATGAAGTAAACAAACAATGATTGTTCAGTGCATTGTTAATTTCAATTTTCATAATCTGTAATCAAAAAGAATAATGAAATAGATGTTAAACTGAAGATATTCATATAAGAGAACCCCAGTTTGCTGGTATAAGTATTGCAATTTGACAAAACAATATACAACTATCTCAAGTAAATTGAAATAGTGAAGAAACTTGATTCTCTACTCCTAAACCAGAACTTTCAAATTGAACTTTATTTTCCAGATTGCCTAATAAAAATACACAATAAAGCCAAAATGTGTTTTTTTAATACATTAGGCCATTCTTCAAATATAAGTAGATTAGATCAAGAAGTTAAAATTCCAACCAAACTCCATGTAAAATGAGCAATATATAAGATGTTCAAATGCATTTCTGTTGAAGGAAAAAACACATTTGCCATTTCCATAAAGTAACAAACATATTTCTAATCATCATGGATGTTGAGAGAGCTTAAACTAAGATAAAAAAATTAACTGTTGTTTACTCTTTGATTTTACAAAGAATTAAATAATGAATATAATTAAAAAATATTTTAAAATTATCAAAAACATAAATACAAAATATAATCAATGTTTAAATTTTATTTTAGAAAAGCTTTATCTGTATTAAACATCAGCCCTGCAGCTAATCAAAATATAATTAATAAATCCTGATAATATTACAAAAATATTTTATCATACCTGTATGCCTTCACGCCATTGTCCATTATAAAGCTCTGAGCATTTAGAATTTTCTGGAGAAAACCATTTCATGGTACCATCAATATGTCGCTTGTTATTGAACCACATTCCTTGATATTCATTACGGTTCTGGTACCTTTGTTTCCCCCAGCCATGGAATAAATCATTCACCCAGTCACCATCATAAAATGAAATACCTTCACTGTCATATTGCAAATGACCCTAAAAAACAAGCCATCTGATGATTACACATGCATAATTAAAAATGAAATACATATATTTTTATATTAATTCAATCAAGTGACAGTAATTTAACTATTCTTGATTGACTGGAAAACAGGTCAGTATGTGATTGATTTCATACTTGCATTAATCAAAGTGGATAACCAAAGATTAAGAAGCAAAAACCATGAAATTTTCACCTTTATCCTTTATGTGTGAGTGTGTCTATATGTATTTACAGATATTGTTTAATATAGTATAAAATCTCCAAATAGGATATTCTACAAAAATTGAATTTTCTACACTAGTAAATAGTATGGCTTAGCTTACTATCACTCTACACCAGGCATTTACACATTATCTGTGTATACATAAAGCACAATATGCGTTCTCTATCCACAATTATATAGCAACATGCTAAAGTCATGTGATAGGGGCCCAGTATCATGCAGGAACCCCATCTAACTTGGCAAAGTACAAAGACTTGACGTACTTAAATTTACCATGTAGTCAGAAGACTTTATGAGTGATATTGAGCTATGTTGTCTCAATAGTTGCCCACAGCTCCCTGATATTTGTAGGTGCAGGTTCTTGTATGTGAATAGATTTTTCTATCATGTACCGTAAATGCTAGATTTAACAACATACTGGCCACACCAATTGTTGGAAGTCTCCAGAAAGCTCCTCAAACCAATTCTATGGAACTTGGGGATGAAGACATGATACATTATTCTGTATTAATAATCCATCATTGTTGGAGTAGATGAAATCTATGAATAGGCACAAATGATCACAAAGCAGTGCAATGTAGTAATCACTGGTCAATAACATTTTTATTCAGACCAGCAGACCCAACACATTCCATGTGCACAGTTTAACTGAATTTTGCTCCTTTAACCATTTTTTGATATTTTCTTTATACTTATTTTGAATGTGTGTGTGTGTAATAAATCAAAATTTTGAAGTTTCTAACCTTTCCATATTTGTGCCCCATGTGCCATTGTCCTGAATAACACATTGCATTGTCTTTAAGTCTGTAGACTCCATATCCATGTCGCTTGCCATCCAAAACTTCTCCTTCATAAGTGCTATAAAACAGTTGAATTTGAATTAATCTCTGATTAAATAAATGCAAACCTATAAATAAGCAGCTAATATTTGGAATTGAAAATATAGATTTTATTTATTTTATTATTTACTGGTTATGAAAACTTAACCTCATGACTGTGGTTAATTCAGTTAAAAAAAGGCAATTTTTTTGCTGGCAACTTCAGTTTGGATAAATATAAGAGCAGCTTTCAAAAATACACTTGTAAGTAATCAATCAATATATATTTCATTAAATTTGTCTTTGTTTTGATTTTTGATTTTTGCTCTAGTAGTAAATAAGAAATTGACACAAGACAATTTGCAGATGGTATATGTTATATACTAATATCATCCACTAATAACAAGTATATCCCCTTACTCCCTACTCCCCATACTGATATCACATAATTCCTTATTCAATAATAAAGATATCTTACTTATAACATGTATGTTCTTCTGTGATCTTAACTTAATCAAATTTAATCTCAGTTTACTATAGTAAAATGTCGTATAAAAATGTAGTCAGTGTTTATTCTATAAGAGATAAGATCTATTGCTAATATAAAGTAACACAAAAATATCTCAACCCCAACTGATTAATGTTATGAAGATATGAATAAATATTGAAGCCTTAGCAAAAGTACCTACATTCTCTTGTTAATGAAAGTATTAACTACAAATGTTTTGCAGAATTATACTCCTTGTTTGTTTTAAAACCATTTGATAAGGAAGCTTGAAAGCTTAATAATCAGGATTTGTTGGAAGTTTTCTATTCATATCAAGCAAACAATATTGATTTCTGTTCTCCAATTCAATAACAGTAAAAGCTTATTTGCTTTCACATTGGGAAATATTACAAGATCATCACTCTTTTTTTTGCCCCTTTCACACTTCTTGTATACATATGTTATAGTTTCTTTGTGTGGGACAAATTAGTATATATTGATATAAAAATTCTAAGAAGCATGCATATTTGTCATTCCTTTTTTCAGCTATTTTGTTTCATCTGTATATTAAGATGTTACTATATCATGGATATTATAATGCAAACTGAAAATATTTCTTCTTGACTAGCACCCCCATTATAATAATAGCTTTTAGGGTTTTGAGTCTTTCCTTGTATTTAGTGCTGTATAGTATTTTGTGATCATCCACTAATATTTGTTATATGTTGATAAATTGCATTGAGTTTTGACAGGTGATAAATCAACCTACAAGTGAGTATGGTGCATGTGCGCCTGATGTAAGAATTAACATATATATATATATATATATATATATGATTATGTTGTGCATGAAACTCAACTCAGAGTTGTGCTATCAGTGAAGAAAAAAAGTGAATATTTATTATTAATATATATATATATATATATATATATATATGCATGCTTCCATTAATTGTTACACATGACATCATTATTTCAAACTTTCAGCTTCCTAAGAATACCAAGATGTAGAATCTTTCCTCCCACAGACACCACATTGGTTCCTGAAAATGACTGAGATGGTTGAGAGTACTACCGCAAAACAACACCACAAACATGAACTTCAGTTAGATTATCCATAATTTTAATCACAATACACAACACCTTATTCTAAAATTGAGAAAATACAATAAAAAAATAAAACAGACAGATCTTGTCAGTTCTATTTAATCAAACTTTTGGGATGAATACTTTCTACCTAAATACAGCTTATTCATTCATTTTTCTTCATATATATATATATATATATATATATATATATATATATATATATATATATATATATATATAAAATTTTGTTTTTGATTTTCTATTAAAAATATTTGGACAGGAAATGGTGGTTTAATATCCATTATTCTTCCAGTATTAACATTCTAAAATGCCTAGATGTTTTTCCAGTGATTTGAACGTTATATGCTTTTTTGAAGTGCTATCCCAAACATTTTGTAGTGAATTTTTTTTTTTTGCTAAATTTCAATATTTAAGCTGCAAACTTACCTGCCATCTGGATATGTGTACAGACCTTTCCCAGAAATGTGATTTTGATCAAAATCACCCTGGATCAAAAATATTATGAACAAAAATTAAGTGTACAAGTTTTCAATTTACATATTAACAAAAAATAGATTAAGAAAATTAAATAGTGTAATTTCATTAAAAAAAAAAAAACTACAATAATGGTTAAAAAATTAAAATTTATCCAAAACATGAACTAAATCAGACAATATTTTTTATAATTTATATTTATTCTGTCGTTGAAAACATACTTTGAAGAGTAGTTTATCTTTATGTAAAATAAAGTATCACTAAAGTAGGGTGTGATGGATAAATTGTCGTCTAAATTATGCAAAAATCAATATAACACTGACATCTTTAGCAGATATATTTTTCAAAATTGCACAAAAACAAAATACTAAAGAGTAAATTTATATAATAAAATCATCATTTGCTTCAACCTTGGCTTCCAGATGACTTTGGAATCTCCTGCAACTCTTCTGGACAGTCTCCTTGTTTAAGTTGATGAATGTTGCCATAATCCTTGCCTTCAGTTCATCTTTGGTGCTACAAGGAGTTTTGTTGGTCTCTCGCTCAACTGCGCCCCACTCATAATAATCAAGGGGGCTGCAATCTGGGGAGTTAGGTGGCCAGATGTAAGAGGTTATGTGGTCACAGAAGTTGTCTGACAGCATTCACTATGTTCTTCTGCTTGTGTGGCATGGTGCAGAGTTCTGTTACCAGACATAGGGTCTTCCAGCAGGCACACTCTTGACCTAGGGCAGCACTACCTACTCGAGGCACTTGATGTAGGCCTTCGTGTTGAGTCTGAGGCTCTCACCAACAAATTTGGGAATTCTTTTCATATCAGAGTGCTCAGAGTGAGTTTTCTGAGCTGCTGTACCTTCATAATCATCATTAGACACATCCAACTCTTTCTAAATCCTCTGCACTGTTCTCAGATTGACACCCAAACACTCTGAAATATTCATATTGGAGCTTTCAGCATGAATGCCAAGCAGCACAGCATGCTGTTACCAAATTTCTGGTATAGTGAATTGTGCCATGGTGCTTTTTTCTCACAGACAGTACCCAACTGACCCTACTATACTGTGTAGTTGACAAAATAAAAAAACAAACACAAAATTAAAAATATAAAATGGCGACAATTTACCCATCGCACCCCCTATCTATCTGTCTATATATATATATATATATGATATGATATGGTTGGAACAAAAGTTCATAGTGTTTTAAGTGAATTTCAAAAACAATATTTACATATCTGTATATAGATGTATTCAGGCATATATGTGCCATTTTGTTCCACTATCTTTTGCCATCTTTTAAGGCAGTTTCATGATTACATACTCCCAGAATTGGATATCTTTTTGGGTGACAAACTAGTCTAAGTGATTTTTACTGGTTTCTAGAGAATTGAAGTTCATTGAAAAGAATTTGGTAAGGATTGAAATAAGTGGTAATCAGAAGGTGCGATGTCAGATGAGTACGACAGGTATTTTTGAACATCTCATCCAAACTGTACTAATTTCTGCTAGGTCTGCAAAGAGATATGAGATCTGGTGTTGTCCTGAAGGAAGACAATACCTTTGTGATTAGCTAATTCCAGATGCTTTTCAAACAATTGCTACCTTTAATCGATTGAGAAGCAGTAATTGTCTGAATTCAACATCTAATGTTGCAGAAGGAGCTTGTAGTACATAATACACTTCCAATACCACAAGATACACAATATCACCTTCTTTGGATACAGACCAGATTTTGGAGTGGTTCATGGTGACTTGTTTCATTTCCTGAGATCATTATTTTCAAAAATGTGTTGATTTTGTTGCATTTGACTAGGAAATTGCAGATTGAAATGTAGTCTATTAAATCATTGGAGTGATTCATGTATCCAAGTGTTTTAAAATGCCTTATAATGTTTATGAGATATGTAGATGCTCTATTCAATGTCCTGTGTCATGTGACCTGGATTATTTTTAATTAATGAATTGACTTTTTTCTTCATCAATGACTGCAGGCCTGTCAGAATGTTCTCTGTCTTCTAGACCAAAATTTCCACTTCTAAATCTAGCCAATCACTTACAAACAGCACCTTTATCTATATCACCATCTCCATAAACAGCACATATCTCTTTTACTGTATCTACAGCATTTTTCCTTTCTAGAAATAAAAAAAATATCAACTGACAAAAATGTATCTCATTATCCTCTATTTTGACTTTTCACATAAAAACATTTAAAATTCACAAGCCACATATAAATCATATAGAAAGGCATGTTGAAATAATATTCTTCAGAATATGTATATGTCATAAATTTCAGTCATGCATGAAATTAAATTTTGTAATCAAATGCCACCTTTTGAAAAATACAAGCTTTTTTGTTCCAACCTTATATATATATATATATATATATATATATATATATATATATATATATAGTTCAAAGGTTTGAAGCCACCCTGGTAATTTTTTTAAATTGGCCTGAAAAGTAATTGTTTTGTATTTTAAATAAGAGAAAATTATTATATATGGTTTAAATATAGTGAGACATAATTTTTATTACAAATTTTATTATGACAAAAAGACAAATTTTGCTCTCATCAGAATACCCTCCTTTAGCCTTGATTACTGCAGCACAAACTTTTGGCATTTGTTGCAAAAGTTTCTCAATGTATAAGTATGATAATTGATTCCTTTCCTTTTTCAATAACTCTAAGAGATCTTTTTCATTTTGTTTCACTCTTCTGTCAAGTTCATCCCATTTTAATTCTGGGGATGGCTTCAAACTTTTGAACTGTAGTTTTTATATATATATATATATATATATATATATATACACACACACACACACACATGCATACATTATTAAACATCATACCTCATAAGTGACACCATCAACCCATTTGTAACATCCATGTCCATGCATCAAGCCATTGGAAAAGTGACCCTGTATTAAAAAATCGTATTTATTGAAACATCTAAACTAAGAAAAATTTCAGAGCATAAAAATAAAATAATGTCAGCAAATTAAAAAATTATTAAAAATTCCTGTAGAAATTTACTGCTCAGTTGACAGTAGTGATTATTTGTATGTAGATTTTATTACTTTTAGTATTACAACCCAATTACTATTTGACAGAGTAACACATTGTTTAATATAAGGTTTTTTTTCAATCATAAATATAATTTTCAATGATTGAATAGTACATAAATTCAAAAAAGTATTTTAATGCATGAATATTCCTGAATTTATAAGTATACAAATATACCGCTGTAAAACCTACTGTCTGAAAACCTGTCAAACTATATGAATGATACTTAACAGTTTAATTAACATTAATAATAAAGTGAAATTGTCATGTGTAGTAGTAGTATTTGCAAGTAACTCACAATTGCTACTCATGAAACCTGCTCCCCTCATGACCACTTCTCAATATGCTTATGATCAAACTCTTACATTTACCTATCTCCCTGAAATGTAAGGGTTTTATTCTCTTAGTCAATCTCTCACTTCTTTTACATTTTGGGGGATTTCCTTGCTCTACTTCTCTTTCCCCTTCCATCAATCTATCCTATTTCTATTTCTTCTTTCAATTTATATTCATCAGAACTTTCATCTTTATTTTGTAAATCTAGATTTTCATTCTCTGTCTATATTTCTTAGATGAGGTATTATGTACACTATTTACATTATTCAGACTATTGTCCTCATCTTTGTCACTATATTTATCACCACATTTCAGCCGTTGTACACTCCAATGTTGAACTGAACCCTTTATTTCACTCACTGGGGTAGACTGTTCTAGTTCCACGTGCCATGTTTAATGGATGTCAGTTATCAGTTATCTCCTGTTAATTCATATCTCCAAGTTTTCCACTGCCTTAACCAGGTATTGAACTAGATCTAACCAACACCTTTATCCACTGTGCCATGTGTCCTTAAGGACATCTGTGTATGAATTTCTGGGACTTATAAACTTAATGTCTTCAGCAACCATTTTTACCAGTGCTCATATTGCAATTTTTGCTGTTATCACTACATGTTTTTAACAGAGCTCATATTACCATTTTCTTTGTTATTATTTCTTTTCTCTGGCACTCCTTATTACTGGTTCCTACATTGTATTCATTTCTGTGCTGATTTTTGTGGCCTAGCATATGTGCTGATTCCTTAAGTTTATGAATTTTCCAATGATGTTCTTTGTCTATGGTCTCAGCCTGATCCCACAGAGGGCAGTGATCTTCCTTTTCTCTCCATATGTGGTCAGCCACGCCTGATTTTTTTCACTTCCCCTCATGTTACAGCTTATTGGTGTTCTTGAAGCCTTACCATAAGTGGGTGGCCTGTCTTGCCTTTATATTTCTTTCAACAGCTGCACGGGATAGCATACACACAGTCTTTAGTCATGTTTTCCTCTATGAGGAGGTCTTACTCAGGGGAGGTATCTGCAAAGTGTCATCTAGCTTTTGAAGGTTGTCCTGATGTTATATGGATCCTTTGTATTTTCTCTGATAACCCCTTCACATAAGGCAGGCAGACTGTTTTCTGAGTGTTGTTGTCCTCCTCTTGTACCCACCTATCCCAATTTATTGGGGCTGCTGCCATGTACCCAGGGTAATTGTTACGTTGTAGAGTACTGCTTAGACTGACCAATTCTTTATCTAATGTCTCTGGGTCACCACTTATGACTTTTGCTCGGTGTTGTAAACAGTGGACGATCCCTTTCTTTATGCTGTGTGGATGGTCGGAGTTGAAATTGAGTGAATGTTGGTTTGCGGTATACAGATGTCTTGAACCCATGCTCTGTTCGAGATATTAGAACATCCAGGAATGGGAGTGTGTTGTTATTCTCTCCATCATGAACTGTATCAAAGGTCTTATTGAGTTTACAACACTGAGCAAAAGTCTGTCAAAATCACAGGCAGTCTTATTGCCTATCATGAAATCCTTGATGTCGTGACTTTAGACAATTCTTTCTTCAAATTGAATATAAATTCTAATGGAAACTGCACCAGGTGAAACTGTAGACGTTTACTGTTTGGGTGAATGCCCTACCACACGATGGTGTGCATGTTTGTCCATGGACAACCTGTCTCTATACAATGACATATTTGGTCAGCCTCCAGGGTGGACTTGCTGCCACTTAAGGAGTTACTGGCCTGGGCCTGGGCATTTATGAAAAAAAGAGTCAGAAGAGGAACTGGTGGTAGTGGCCACAAGGCCCATCCAAAGTGAACATGCTCTCCCAACTGTGGGCCCTTCTGTGAGAATTAAGTGCTACAGATGTAATGGCTCAAACCACTTGCTAAGCGAATTGGGCACATTGCTGCCACTGCCAGAGGTGCCAGGAGCCAGGGCATCTGTCATGAGATTGTCCAGAGTAATAGGTCAGGGGTCAAGGCATCAGTCAGTGTCAGCCTCATCCCTCTCCAGGATGTCAGTGCTACCAGTTACATGACCATGTCCTACCTGACCATGCTAGTGCCAGTCTCTCTAATCTGCAAGTCATGAAAGAGACGCTCCCCATATTTGTACACATTAATGGGGTGAAACATGTCAGTTTTCTCTAGCATAGATTCCTCTATCCAGGTTGTCAGCTTCGAGGTCTTCTAAACACTGAGCTAATATAGCCAGCTCCTGCTACTAGCTTACCTCAAGGTGGATCCTGATTGGCTAATATTGCTGCTATGTTGATTATCTACGAGCTCCACCATTCTCAATCTTTCTCGACTCTAACCATGTAATTGGTCAAAGGGAGAAAACTCAGTTATCTCAACAAAACATACTCTCATGAATACAGGTTGTTTGCATTCACTTATGAACATATCCAGTTGTCGTGAATGGAAAAGAGGTGGATGTGCTGATGGTTGACATGAAGGTCCTCAGAAGTAGAGGAGTCACAAGAATGGAAGACCACAAAGACAATTGTGACACTATTAATATAGATGTTCTGATCATGGAGAGCAAATTGTTAGGATTTGACTTGCTCCTCAGGATGGATGTCATTAAGAGGCTGGGCGGTGTTCTCATCATAAAAATGGGTGAAGTCAGGTTTGTTAATCCCCATATTTGTGCAGCCATGATTGTAAATCAGTCTGACTTTACTGTGGAATTTGACCAATATACCAGGAACTGGACAGCATCATGGAAATAGATAGATCCAACCACTGAGTATCGTGTGTCTAAGCAGGCAAAGAGTGAATATCAGCATGAACTACTGGATAGATGATGTATGAATGAAACCTTACCCTGAAAAAGAACTTGGTCCCCCAAGGGGCCTGATCCCATTAATGGCGGGTGTTCAAAAGGATTGCCACAAATTAAATGTGCAGCTGTCTATATTTCTGAGATGAGGTATTATGTACATTATTTATATTAATATTGTCCTCATCTTTCTCGCCATATTTATTACAACGCTTCAGCCGTCCAGGTGGTTGGAATGTTGAACTGAACCCTTTATTTCACTCACTGGGGTAGACTGTTAATGGATTTCAGTTATCAGTTATTTCCTCTTAATTTCCCTCTTTGGTTCCTGTCACTGGATCTAACCAACACCTTTATCCACTGTTCCATGTGTCCTTGAGGACATCTGTGTATGAATTTCTGGGTATTATAAACCTAATATCTCAGCAACCATTTTTACCAGTGCTCATATTGCACTTTTTGCTGTTATCATTTCGTGTTTTTACCAGAGCTCATATTGCAACTTTTGTTGTTATTGTCACTTTTCTCTGGCACTCTTTATTACTGGTTCCCACATTGTATTCATTTCTGTGCTGATTTTTGTGGCCTGTCAATTTTTATAACTTGGAAATAAATTTGGGAATAATCAAAATTAATTGTGAAATCAGGTAAAAGTCACCCATGAAATAAAAATAATTGTTTGTACAGAAAGTAAGGACCTATGTACATCAAATTGTCTTTAAATTAAGAACATGATTGAGGACATAGCGGAAACAATACGCCAGAATGACCCTGCACACGGTAAGTGGTGCACAAGCGGACACGCTTATGAGGTATGGGTCAATGCAAGTTCTCTCGCCACAGGTGTTTCATTGGAGGTTGACGGAAGCGTTGTAGAAGACGTATGTTGGCTGCGACCTGTGAAGGACACCCAACATATCAATTTATCAGAATTGGATGCTATTCTGAAGGGCAACGGAGCTACACCTCTTTATGGACTCCACGTGTGTGCACCGGTGGGTATCAAACATGCTCACTGGCAAAGCCAGAATACAAACTAAGGCAGCAAGTGAGATGCTGATCCAGAGGCGATTGAGTACTCTGGAAAAGCTAATTCAAGAGCATAACTTATTGATCATGATAAGTTTAGTAATGTTGAGTGAGAATCGAGTGGGTAAGCTCACCAGAGTACCGCAACGATGGTATGAGATGATAAAGAAGGAAACCGAACCAACACACTCGATATGCGCTTCCATGGTGAACAAAACCTCTCCTGATCAGATACGTGCCATACATTGCCAGAGTGGACATCCTGACGTCAGGCGGACGCTATATTTTGTGAGACGAGTCTACCCTACGACATCCAAGGCGGTCGTCAAGGCAGTGGTCAGAAAATGTAAAGAATGCCAGTCAATTGACCCAGCCTCATGTCGTTAAAAAACAAGCCCGTTGCTATAAAGTATGTTGATATGCAAATTACTGAACATCCTCTCCCAGCTGTCAATGAATGGAAAAGAAAACGTTTGGCCGATAAAAACAGTTGGTGTTCTCGAATCAGGGGAAAAAAAGTTGGCAATTTTGGCTGCCGAGGGAGTTATTTTTCTGATTGGTTGCATGCATTGTGATTTGTGAAATAGTACTTGCGAATCGAGTTTTCGGCATTTTCTTTCTGTCCCCAATGTTTGAGTCTGAACTTAGTGATTTATTCTCGGCGAAGTGGAAATAATTTGTGACAAACATTTCCTTTGCAATCCCAGATCATTTACAACAAGCCAATCAAGAGCCCTCCACAGGAGCCATCTTAAATGCCACCCAATAGGGCATCTTTTAAGCTAACATATAAACACACACAAACTATAGGCCCAAATGTTTGGCGACACCTGCTAGATTTCATAATAAGTAAGTTTTACACCTTCTTTAATTCCTAAGCTAGGATTCTGAAACTATTTGTCGCATTAGTGCATCATGTCTATCTTTAACTGAGTGGGGTTACCTGAAATTTAAAATCTGCCAACTATAGGATTACCATTCACCAGTAAGGTTAATTAGGCAAAAAGAGCTAAAATTTTAAGAAAACTTTATGAAGTAATGGGTAAATTTTGTTATTATTATTGTATATATGATAACACCCTTCTAACCTGAAGTGAGCTAGTAAATTATTTTTGAAAAAGACACATAACCTTCAATTGTTAGGTGATTTTTTTGAAATCCAGAGAGTAACCTTTGGCATATATTGTGTATATATGTGTGTTGTAGAGAAAGATGAGTTACAAATTCATCTTTCTTTAAACCAGGTCACATAAAAAAGTTTAAACCAGGTCACATAAAAAATTAAAACTTCCACAATTGTATTAGTTCATTTTAAATGAATTACAATTTGAAAAATCATTTTTTCAAGTACTTCCCATTTTCCATGAGACCTAATTTATCCATCTTCACCAAAGAAAGTATTTTCATTCTTTGAGTCAGAATTCATGTTTCATGTGCAATATTTCACAGAAGATATGTTTTATTCATGGCATTTCTGGCATATTAAAAAACCATGAATTGATTGAAAAGAAGTAGAATTCTCTTGAAGATTTAAAATTTCAATCTATACATGTGGTATAGAAATAAAATAGTTGATTTAAGAAGAGAAATTATATACCATGTTCTTTCAGGACCCATGTAATCCTGTCACTCCATGAATTCCTTCTATTACCTGTTAGTTGCCATGATAGTGGGCTGATTTTCTGTTGTTTTTTCCACAGTTTTGAATTCAGAATTGTCCTCTTAGACTGGCAAGCACCCAAAGCTAGAATCTGCTCTTTTATTTAACCCATAGTTTTGTGGGGAAAATGAATTCATTTCCCAAAGGATATTAGTGTAAAGTAACACAACAGGCTAGGCTGAAACTTGAATGCCATTCACCAATTTCATTATCTGTGCTGATATGTGTTACACTACCCACAAATCTTAAAACAGTTCATACTTTATCTAAAAATAAGTTTTTTATATATACATCCATTATGCTAATTTGAAACTTTCCCACTTTTTGCTGAAGCTGAGAGCTAAACAGAAGACTAAATTCATCCTCTTGGCCTCAATTTATGACAATACTATTGAGATGAGGTATATCATTTGCCTAAAATCATTATTGCCATTTTTAAAATAAATCACAAAAGTTTAATCTGTTTTTCCCCCTGAAATATTAGCTTCTAAAACTTTTCTCTAAATCTTATATATGAAAAAGATCTGTAGGTTTCATTCCAGGAAATAAGTTCAAATGAAAAACAAAAAAAAATGTGTATTTAAAATACAAAAAATGTTTATAGTAAGATAGTAGTGTTCCTTTTATGAGTGGATCAAATAATAAATATAGAATCAAGAATATCTTATATAGTTATGTTCTTATATCTTCAAATACAGTACAATTTCTTCAGTTTGTTTTGGACTGAAAATTTTTTCATTCTTAATTTGAATTTATGAAACTAGATGTTTTTACTTTTATAAAACAATTTTTTTTTTCTTTATTTTTTATCACATTTCAATCCTTCTTTAGGTGAATTCTGAAATTTTCAATGAAGAACTTCAGATATGACTGGTAACAAAACAAAATACTCCCATAGCTCAAATAAATTTTCCATTCTGAATTTCGCAGGATTAAGGTTACCAAATAAAACTGACGCTCTGGGAAGGGTCAGAGCATATATCAGTGAAAACATTGAAATCCTAAAAAAGTTATTGGGCTGATTTAAATCTTAATTTATTTATAATTATAAACTTTTATGTCTTACCTGGTAAGTATGTCCATCAATAAATTTCATGAAACCTTCACCTTCAAACATGCCATTTACCTTGCTTCCTTCAAAACTGAAATCAGAGAATAAAATAGTCTTATGTGATTTTTTTCTTTGTTTTTTTAGTTTTATTTTGACATCTTATGGTTACTTAGAACAAAAAAGAGGATTTCCTCTCACCATTTTTTCTATTATATTGATAGTCAATTTTGTTTTGGTATGACACAATGCTTCAAGTATGGGGCATTCATTGAAAATCAAATGCCTTATTCTGTTATAATGGTCCATGAGGCAACCTCTTATAAAGCTTACCTTAGACTGGTACAAGGCCATAAGTGAAATATCCAGTGAAGATTGAATTCACTACAAACAAGATTTTAATGATTTTCAATGATTTAATGAGACTAGTTTGCTAACTATTACTTTAACATTTTGCATAATTTTACTCAGCTTAAAGGCACACATGACTATATTAGTGAAAATATGACTAGAAGCATGAGTGCCCATTGTCCTATGACAAGTAAAGAATTTCCAATAGTCCCTTTTGACATTTTCAGGGCCACATTTGTTTTACTCTGTAGACATTGTATGATCTACCCTTGTGATATGGCAATATTGGTGAATGTCAGTACTATGTGGCCATCCATAATCTGGTCCATAGATGTAGGAATGTCCATTTGGCCACTGTTGTCTACAATGAAGCATCAGTAAAGCACCATATCCAATATACATAACAATTTTTTTGAAATGATCACTCTCTCAAATGTCTACATTCTGACCAAACAGATCTAATTGAACAAAAAGAGAATGTGGGCATGTTTGTGACATGCCATTTTCTTACAGTAGACTCTTTTACAACACAACCTTACTGCAACATGTCAACATTTAATGTTCAGGTACAGAGGGTGTACTGATGTGAACATTGCTATGTCACAAGATGGCCAAAAACTTTTATCAGAATATCTACTACTTTCTAGTAAATACATACTGTATTATGATTAAAATCATTACCTTTCAAGGTGTTGTAAATTTATTTTTTATCAGTTTATTCAAAACTTTTCAGTTTCTCATTACTCAAGAAATGACATCAAGACTGCATATGGTACTCTTGTCCTTATCTCACATATGTAATATCTTTTAGTTAAGAGGAAAAACAATGATGTCATAGAACATAAAAGATCCAGTTTAGAATAGCACCACAACTGAACTATTAAAGCTAATAAAAAAAAAACAAAAACAGAAAATCCTTTGAAAACTGGTAAATGTATGAATGGAAAATTGTCTACAAATAATTTTAAGGGTTTAATATATATGTTTAATTCAGAGAATGAGATATGGAGAAATAGAAGAAGGAAATTCTGCTATTTCTACTTTTGTGTTGCTTGATTTTCATTGGTGAATCATGTTCCATGTGCATTCAACTCTTTAAACCAATGATAATATAATTTGTAGCATTCTGAATTCAAGGAGAGACAATGTGTCCATCCCAAGTATCAAGAAATTAATGGATTCCAGGCCTACCTGAAAAACTATAAATATTGCCATATTTATGTAAGTGTATAAAATTCCAGTTTGTCAATGTGGGAATCAGATGATAATGTATATTCATAAGTGTATGTGTATGTATGTCTAGTATACATTATGTTTGTTGATTTTTTTGCATGTTGATTTGGGAACATATATACCATTTGTTTTAGATGAACAAACATTAGATTATTTAAGAATTAATTTAATAAAGGTTGACAATGTAATATGATGTTTTTCATGTGTTTATAGTTGGTAATGTTTCTATTAGAAGGTTCTTGAAGTACTTTCTCTGCAAAGAATTATGTTCTTTTTTTAATTAGGGTGGCATTAATAAAATTAAAGTTATGGCCAGTTTTGTTCCTGTGTATTAGGAGAGTTTGAATGGTTGTCTCAATATAAATTTCTTTTGGGTCCATAGATACATATGCACGTTTAGATCATGTGATGTCTTATGCGGATCTATTACGCACAAACATACATACATAAAAAAAAACAAATCACATACAATGCCAAGGATTCATTGGTTAATAAATCACCACTACACTACTACAGGCAACTTAAAAATTGCAGTAATGCAACAATTTTGTAATCGCTCTATTTTTAAGTAGTTAATTTTGTGCACTTTTGGGAGAAGCAGATCACAGAAGCTTGCTCGCTGATTGGTTGATGCCAACCAATCAGATTGCTTGCACGTGAAGAATAATTCTTCCCACACAACAATTTGGAGCCTATAGTCACTTATGTAAGCCAAGATTTTTCTTAGCCCAATTAGTGAGAATTCAACTGCTAAACGAATCCACAACAGTTGAAACCATGTGCCAACTTTCTCATTCACACACACCACTCACATGCTGAACATACCTTGTATACACTCACATAAACTCTTCTTACACAGCAATATCTTTCAAGAACAATCATTACAAGAGACTCTCATGAACATTCTTCCAGTGAACTTTGAACTAAATAATTATTTCTCATTGAACACTAAAATTACAGTTAAAGAGAGACAACTCTTGGTTAATTCAACCTTTTCTTACTTAAATGCATGCTTTCCTTCACATCGTTGTTTGATATTGTACATCTTGTTAAATACATATTTTATGTGTAACAATGTCTTTTGGTTATCCTTTTTTGCGTGAACCTTGTTTCCTAATCTAAAGTTAAATTAATGTGGTGAAGTCCACCACAGTCTCCCTGGTATAAACTTTTTTTACATTGTGAACAATTTATTTGATAAATACTAGCATTTGAATTGGTGATTTATTTTTCTTCCTAATTATATCTCTAATTGTCTTGGACATGGTAGTAAAGATTCTAGTATTAGAAAATAAGATAAATATGTTCTATATTTGATGCTTCATTGTAAACTAGTCTCACAGATCATTATTACTGAGTAATGAGTTTAATCCTCAATTAATGTCCCATACTTGTGCCTGTGTGTTAAATCTCACTACTCTTATTAAGTATCATATATGATGGTATATAAAAATTACTTTTTGCCAAAAATGGCAGTGTTGTTATTGATTTTTCTTGCCATCCTAGTTTTAGGTTTTGTCTGTTATTTTTCTCTTCTATTATAATGTAGCTATTTATTTCAGTAGCATTAAATTCTTACACCTAAATACACCAAAAATATTTTTTCCTAATTAATATACCCTGTTGAAGTGGAGATATGTGATTATCTGCTATCAAATATTGTAACAATAAGTTTCATTTTCAGTAATGGTGATTTTTTTTTTCTTTCGCCAAGTAATGTAAATGGTATCTTCACAAGGTAAAATGTCAAAATAATTTTAAAAGATTTTAATTTGAAACCACAAGTTATTTAAAGAATACAGAATATTTTTTTTTGATTCAACAAAAAGAATAAAAATGTACCTCATCTGTTTAAGTTCCAAAAAGGGAGAAGAAAAAATGTTTGAAAATTTTCCCAAGCAATATTAATTTGTACAAAAGAAATGATGTTATTAACTAATCAATAATTAACTAAGTAACAGATGAGAGCCTCCATTCAGCTGTATGCTGATTGCATAGCATAAAATTTAAAAAGTTTGCTTCTCTAGGAAAAGTAAAAAAGTGAACACTGATGTCTTTAAAGAAGTTTTTTAAATGTATAGAGAAAACTAACAGATTTTGAAACTTTAGCCAAATCATAAGTATTACATATAACATTTTTACATGTATACTTCATATTTGTTTTCCAACCTCAAAAAAATGAATATCAAATAAACATTAAACAATTACACATGTAAACACTAATAAATTAGTTTCTTAAATAACAAAAAAGATTTTGCAACAATTTCATTTTAAATTTAAAATATTCTTTTCATTATTTTCAGAAACATACATAATTTCTAATTCAAATTAGTAAATTTTAAGTATAATTAAAAACCTTTCTTAACCTTTCCTCAAACTTTGTTATATTTTTTGAAAAAGCATATAAAAATATATGCATCATTAATATTTACAAATAAAAAATGCATAAACATTAACAGATGAAATGTCAAGGTAAATAAATACACACATATATATATTTTTTTGTTTTTTTTTTAAGTTTCAAGTGCAGTGGCTATCTTCCAGGTATTTTTTATTTTTTCAATGTCAATTGCTTGTAAATATTCAAACTGGTATTTAAAAGTAAAATTCTTTATCATAAATGTAAAACAATAAATAATAAAAGTTTAAGTTACTTTTAAAATGTTTTTAAGTAAAAGCTCTAGATTTTTTAGAATCATAACGTACGTTATATATTTATTTTATTTTTTAGTTATTGATTCTAAAAAAAAATTCAGCCCCACTTCCCAAATAGCCAAACTTTTCTGTGCGCAGGGAGTGGGGTGCTTCTTGCTTTGAGCGGGCCCACTTTTTCAGCCTCATATATCGTTACTAAAAATGTTGAACTAATTTTTTTATTACTTCAACTTGTGAATAATTAGTTCAATAACTGAGGCATAAAAATGTTATGCATTTTTTTCTTTTATACAATTAGAAACGGCATTCTGACGTCATTGATTAAAATTAAAAATGAGAAAATGTTCTTTTTAAATAGCATGCTTCATACTTTTCCTTTCTTTTCTTTTTTTTTTTTGATTGTCAAGATAAAGAAATTAAAAATATATAAGAAAGCAAAATAGATAATAAATGAATAAATAACTAGACGAAAATAAATTATTAAACATGCAATTAATCTCAAATTAATCTTCCAGTTATAAAAACCTTTCAATGATGACATCTGTCAGAATTGAGCCATCGTAGATTTCTACAGGTGGGGTTGTCTGTTCTTCTTCTTTAACAGAATCAACTTCTGTTATTTCTTCTTCAACTATTTCTTCAGCTTCGGTTATTGGTGGTTCTTCTTCGATCGGCTGTTGTACTTCCTCAACCTTTTTGGATGACTTTTTATCTCCATCTTTGGTCTTTTTTCCTTTTGATTCTTTTGTATTCGTAGCCATCTTGGTCACTTCGTTGCTAGGTCCTGTTTGAAAGACATGTTGTCAATGTAAATAAATAATAAAAAAAAGCAGACATATAAACAAAAGCCGCGCCTACTTTTTGGTCGATAAATGTTGTACGCATTATTAATGGAATTGTTTTTTTAAAAGCGGTGATATAATTAGTCTTTTTAAATTAATATATATAAATAAAACTATGACTTTTTAAAATCCGACACTAAGATTAAGAAATTCTTAAATACCGTGCGTGTGTACGTGAATAAAGACCCGACCCTCACGTTCCACACATACACACAAAAAAAGAAAAACTAATGTTTAATGGTCAGACTTTAGGAAAATCGGGCCGGTAACTTTTCAGATCTCATTATCCTGTTAAAAAGTAAATGATTATTTATTTAGTTTGCTAAATATTTTGTTTAAAATTAAAAATGAATTTTAGAAGTCGGTAGCTCAGAAAAAAGCGATACCCAAGTTACTAAGTAAAAAAAACAAAATTTAAGTTTAAAAAAATTCATTTTAAAAAAGTAAAAATTCTTCCTTGAAAAGTTTAGTTTTAAATTCCAATAAACTTAATATTCCCAATAAAGCAAAAGTACTTTGGCGTATTTGTATTTCAAACCGAATTTAAACTTATTGGAATCTTTTTTCTTTCTTTTTTTTTTTGTCTTTATAAAATCCATAAAAAAAATTCGTCCTTACTGACTGACCATCTGTCAACTCAACACAACATAATTGTCTTTATTTTTAAATTTTATCTGTCTATATTTCTGAGATACTCGGATGAGATATTTATGATAGATTACTTGCATTATTTACATTATTCGGATTGTTATCCTCATCTTCATTGCCATATTCACAAGGTTTCGGCGTTGTTCGCTCCGGTCTTCTTCAGGTGATTGCAATTTCGAATCGAACCCTTATTATTTCATTCACCGGGGTAGATTGTTCTAGTTCCACGTGCTATGCCTCTTCCGGGTGTCTCAGTTATTTCCCTTTAACTCAATTCTCCAAGTTTTGGGTCTCCACTGCTGTGGCCTGGAACTGAACTCACAACTCTTTGGGTCTCTAGTCACTGGATCTAACCAACGTGAATATGGCAATGAAGGTGAGGATAACAGTCTGAATAATGTAAATAATGCAAGTAATAATTGTTTTTATTTAAAAAAAAAAAAAAAAAAAAAAATCTTTCAAAAATAAAATAGTCTTCTTTTTTGCGGGGGCGGGGGCGGAAATCAGCTGATTTAAACAAAGTTTAATCTGATTTGAAACAAATATTACTTTTAGTTTAAAATATCGCAGAAAAGCAATTTTTTGTTAAGACGGAGTGGGGTGGGTATTTTGACATGGGAGTGATTTATTGACAGCCTGGTCTTTGGGTTTAATTGAAGGAGGACATAACTGAAAAACAAACTTGCATGACGAATGCAAAATGGACACCTACACACACACACACGTGTGTGTGTTTCCAAAAATCGCTTGAAAATGAAACAGTACTAGGGATTTTAATTTAATTCTATAATTTAAATTTAAAGTTTTAGTTCCTACTTTTGAAACATGGTAATTCCTGTGTAGCGATGGAACCATATTTTTAAAGTAAAACTACGCAGTAATCTTAAAAATTTAAAATATTTTCACATTCTAATATTTTATTGAATTTTCCGTATTTTTGATTTAGCTTTGCTTTACTTACGAAGAAATGTTACAAAATTACCAATAAATTTTAAATTTAGGTACCTCTTATTTTCTGATAATGTCGTATCTGGACGTCCGTTATTTCTATTTACAAAAATCGACACGTTTTTTAACTTTTATACAAGCAAAAAAAATTTTTTTTTTTTTAAATACTGGGGATCGTTTTTCCCTTTCCAATCTAAAAGAAAATAATGTTTTATTGAATTATGTAAGCTCCCAACACAGAAAAATATTTTTGAGTTTTGTTTTATTGAATTATTTTTGGTTTCGGGATGAATTTTCCGTATACTCACACTTGATATTGCATTTTTTTTTTTTGTTTTTGTTTTTCCCTTTTTCTGAAATATCATCTTCAGAGATTTTTCTTGAACAGTTACAAAAAAAAAAATGAAAAGAAATTACATGAACACCACCCCGCACCCCCGAATTAAAAAGTACCGATGAGATATTGAAATGGTGGTGAAACAGACACCCCTCTACCCGCAAAAAAAAAAAAAAATATTTCCAAAGTTTTCCTATAAAATAAGCTAATAGTTACTTAATAATCAGTATACAATTCATTCATTAACGAATAAGTACTGAAAATGTCGTTTGAATTGTATAATTCTCCAATTTTGGGTATTTTTTTAAACGGGGTAGCGATCTTTGCTTTTATTTCGAAAAAATGCATTCCTTTTTCATTGGACCTTGGTGGTACCTAAATGAAATATGTTGAATCTTTGTAGATTAATTATCACGTTTAAAAGGTAGTGAGTGAGTGAAGGGAACCTGTTTTCTTTAGATGCCAGTGCTCTTCTTCACATAGACTGTGACAGAGCGTACAAAATCAATTTAAAAACCTTAATTAAGCATTGGCATTCCATTAAGTAAGTAAAAGTCGTATTATGTTAGTAAATAAATATTAAAATTAAAATAAATATATATGAAATTTTTTTTACTTTTTCATATTTTGGTGAAAAAAAGTCACGCTTTGGAGCTGATAAAAATCGCTTATTCCTTGTAGCTTCGCCTAATCGGGGCAGATGGCAAATTCAACCAAATTATTCTGTCGCTAAAATAACTGTTCTTTAACGGTTAAAGAAGTAAAAACCAAATTTTATATAATTTTACAAAATTTAACATTAATGCTACCTGGTTAGCATTTTTTTTCATTTGTACTTTATTAGCTAACTTGTTTTGTTTTTTTTTTTGTTTTTTACAATTTACTAATTTACATACACGTGTGTGTGTGTGTGAATTATACACATATTTAATTTAATTTAACAAAATATGATAATAAATTCGTGCAGGAATTTGCAAAATTTTCAAAATTGTGTATTAAGTTCATTTCAGTAATTGTCAGGTTTGAGTAAAAGTCGTCCTGTCAAAAAAAAAAAAAAATACATGACAAATGACAATGGCATTTACATTGAATTTTAACATTAATTATTTTTACATAATTAATAAAGAAAAAATATAGCAATAAAGTCTTCTTACTTCTTGAACCTTTTATAGCCTTACTTTTTTTCATTTTTTTTAGCTGTATTTTAGAAAATGTCTCAGAAATATTTTAAACAAATATTTTAAAGATACTTTCGTCAAAAAGTGCGTTTTAAAATTTAACAAATTTCAAAGTGGCAGACGACAATTTTTAACTATGGCAATGAAACCAAAGAAATCTTTTAAATTTCTGTTTTGTAAAATTGTTTGACAATAACTGTTTTATTTATCTTTTTAAAAAATAATAATGATCCATACTTGATTTGACACTTGTTAACTAGTTAACAACCAAAAATTTAAATCTATAAAAAAAAAAAGCGTAAACAAATTAAAAAAGAAAAAAAAACTACCTAAAAAAAAATACATCGATCACCGTCGCCGATAATAGACGATTATTTTTAATATTATTTATTTATTTATTTATTTAGGATGAAGAAAACGGGGTAAAATTTCTCAAAGTTGAGAAAACTTTTAAAAATATTTATTCATTTATTTTCAAAAAAAAAAGAAAAGCGAAAGACTCTCTCTTGAAAACCATAACGTTATTGAATTCTCTGGTGATTGAGCAAGTCCAGGTGGAAATTCCAAAAAAAGGTGAGAGGTTTTTAAAGTGGAAATATGGCTTATTTTGCTGGTGTTTATTAACAATAAATGTATGAATGTTTAAATATTAACAAATTTAATTAATTACCAACCGAAATAAATGTAAAACAGTTTTTACTTTTTATTTTTTTTATAGAGCAAAAGGGAATTTGATGTTTTTTTTAGTTTCAGGCAAAAATCTATCCTTTCTTAATTTCTCTTTGAAAAATGTTAAAAAATCGCATTATGCATTTCAATGAAAATGTTATTTTTGTTTCGCATAAATCCTCAACAAATTCATTTTTGTACAAATTCCTTCCAAGTAAAATGTATTATTGTAAGTAAACAATTTTTTAATAACTGGCTACCATTGCCGGTAAAGTAGTGACCATTTTAGAAATCAGTAAAAAATGTATTTATTACTTTTAAATTGTAATTTACCATAGAGAATCTCCAATAATATTGCTTTACTTATGTTTCTATTATGTTTCTTTTTTTAAAATAGTTTCATTACTATAAGCGTAATTGGCAGTAATTTTTAAGAAATATTTCTAACTTTGAACACAAATGATATCTTTGATTCACTTGTAAGTAGTTTTTATTCTGCATTGTTTTAAAAAATTTGATTTTTATTTCAAAATCTCTTATTTGTTATTAATTTTTTCTAAAATAAATAATGTTTTATGAATGAATATTATCTTTCTTTTGGAAATTAAATTTTGGGGAAAGGTTTCGATTCACAATATTAAATTTTTGTACTCTACAAAGTAAGAGTACGATAAAACTAGGCAAATAGCGGACTTAATAATTACTATTTATTTAATTTTACTAACATCAAGTCACTATTTTTTTTTTAAAAAAAAAAAAACGAAATGCAACTTAATCTTTGTTTTTTTCTGTTTTGTATTTTAAAAGAATGGTAGAATATAGACTGGGAAGGATATAAAAAAATTGGTGTATGAATTTTTAGTAATTTCATGAAATTAAGTGTGTGTGGGGGTATGTAAAAAAGATGTAAAAAAAAAATTTAAAAAAAGATGTAAAAAAAAAAATAAAAAAAAGATAAAAAAGATGGAAAAAATATTCTTACCAAGATTTCCTAAAAATAATAATTTAAAAAATAAATTCATCCATAAGACCTGAAAATTCATTTAAAAAACAAGATTTTTAACCAAATTTTCGAACGTGTAAAAAAAAAAAAAAAAAAAATGTAAAAAAACACCTTGTTCTTTCCTCTTAAAACAAAT